ATTTTAGGCAACAGTATTTATTTGTGGAGCCTGCTCAAATCCAGACTGGTGTTAATTATAGATAGCAATGGCAGATGAAATGGAGAAATTCTTGCAATATGCTCACGCTTTCCAATACTTTTCATCATTTTTATTATATATTATTTAATTGATAAAACTTTTGTATGAAAAAGTTTCTACCACCAAAAACATTCGAAATTTTGTCTCTTACATGATTATTGATTTATCTTTAACAAAAAAACTTTCTGATATTAGTTATAAGATTTAAATTTAAGGCCTGCAAATTAATTATAAGTTTGATAAATGTAGACACGATTTTTTATTTTTATTATTTTTATTTTTATTTTTATTGTATCAACTTAATTGAGATATGTTTTGGCATTTAAGACGGTTTTTTTCTTGAAGCCCATAGTTTTCACAAGGATCAAAACAATGTTTCATATTCTTTATATAGCATGTATTTATATAAAAGTCATTTTTTTTAATTTACTTGAGTATAATATTTGGTTTCATAAATTACGGTCCGATTTTTTAATTATATAAAAACAAAGAGGAAACTCATGTGGTAAATCGAGAATAGAATTGAAGCGTATTTTATACTTGCACACATTTAAGAATTAAGACACGGATTAAGAAGGTGGTCACCTAACAACTTGGTAAGCTAGGAAGAAAGCACTACATTAATCACAGTGGTCGGTATTCTTCAACCTAATTAATATGTATGGAGTTTAACGAATTGGTCGTCGAAAACTTGTTCTCAGGTAGGTGTATCGAGATTCTATGTCAAAAGAGTGGAATATATATATATATATATATATATATATATATATATATATATATATATGGTGAGTTGGGTAAGTAGCAGCATCCTTTGCTATTTACAATTTGGTTTCATTTTTTAATTATTAATTTTTGTGGCTACATACAATTGCGTATGATAACGTAACTTTGTTCCAGATTTTAAGTAGCAAATGTTCACAAGTTGACATGTGTGTAAGAATTAACCTTACAATGAACTAGCATTTTTTTTACCATAAATTTATATATTTAAATTATGAAATTATGGTACCAATAAGTTTTTAAAATTACGGTTGTATGAAATTGCTAGTTATTTTAATATGTTCAACTTGTATGGTTAATTTTGGTATGTAATATTTAATTATTACAAGTTTAATCTTATGAGTAAATATTTAAATTATGATGCGATTAAATATTTAAAATTATTGAAAAAAAGTTGTACAAAAACATGTTTATGGAAATTTATAAACATGTTTTTGGTTATTGATAAATTTCATTTATGATATATTATTTATTTTAAGAGTAAATTAATTGACACAATATATCGCCAAAGTGATCTATTTTGTGAAAATTAATTTACAAAGAACTTAAATTTAATGGTTTGAGTTTATTAATGCGGATATTAATCGACCCAAAGGTAGGTTAATATTTGGTCGGATAAACACATGTTTGATGATAAATATGCGACAATTTTTAGGTTACATATCATTAATAAGTCAATCCAAAGAGGGGTTTATTAATTGACATGATATATTGTCAATTCTTATTATCAAATTTTATAGTTTATCTGTTTATTAATGCGGGTATTAGCTGACCAAAAGGTAGACTGATATTTGGCCGAATAAACATATATGTGGCGATAAACATGTGACAATTTTTTGGTTCAATGTGATTAATAAGTCAATCCAAAGAATGACTTGTTAATTGACATGATTTATTGTCAATGTTTATCTCTAAAACAAAGATATCTCTTGCAAGTTAGTATTACAATCCAGACTTGATATTAATGTTGTGTTGATACCTTTTCAAGATGTCATAAATTGAATTTATTTATTACGGTTTATGGATTAATGAGCATAAAAAAATAGATTTGTTCATATTTGAATTATGGTATTATATCTGCTAACATTGATCGCATTTATGATTCATGTAATCAATGAGATTAACTTTAAGGAATGGAATGAGGGCATTATGTTAGTTCTCAATTGCATGGATATTGACCTTGCATTTTGGATAGAGCAACATTCTTTGAGGATGTTGAGTTTGGGGGAGAAACAAGGTTAAAACATTGTCCTTAAGGAGGAATCAATCTTGATTCCTATTATTGCTTTCGATAGTATGCAGATTATGAATTAGTTATCGACAATGTTATTCAATCTCCTATTCTGAATACACAAACTCAACAACCTCAACTTTGGATATCCTATGCGTGGTACCACATTTTTCATCAATTTATTATCTCTTTTGGTTTTGAGGTAAATACAATAAATGATTTTGTGTATCACAGATTAAGTGGGAGTAAATTTATCTTTCTGGTTTTGGGCAGATATCTACGCAAACTAAGTTTGGATCATAAGAAAGTAGCCAAATGGATTTTAAGATATCTATATATATAACAAAAGGCTATATGCTCAATCATAGGAAATCAGATGTTTTGGAGATCATTTTTATTATGAATCTGATTTTATTAGATGTCAAAATAGTTATTGATGCATATCGGAATACTTTTACATTTTAGCATGATAAGCTATTTCATGGAATAGACTTCAGTAGCTTCTTCCATAATGACATCATAAATTGTAGCATGGAATATGGTTGCGGAAATTTGTCACGAGGCTACACATTATTGGTATTGAAAGACCACTAAAGTTGTGATAATAAGTCAACAATATTATATTCCAACAACAGAAGTTCTATTAAGTCAAAGCATATTGACATCAAGTTTCCTTCTGTTAACACAATAGTGCAAAATGGAAATATATATAGCACATATGAACAAACTCCATGAAAGCGGATCCGCTCATAAAGGGATTACCTCCTAGGTCTTTCATGAGCATACTACACACGTTGGTGTGATATTTGGTTTTAGTGGGAGTTTTATGGTGGTTTATGTTTTGTTTAAGAGCAATTATGTTTTTTTGTACAGAATTAAGAATTCGGTTGACTCCATTATTAGTTGCACTTATTTGAAGTTTGATCTCACTTCAATCTAAAGAGGAACTCGTCAAAAATTTATTTAGATTTTAAAACCACACACCATGCTTAATCTATGTCGTTAGTTATATATGTGTATGTGACCATTGATAGGTTTAGTTATGTAAATTGTAACGAAGGCCGCTTTGATCCTATACTATTATGATTAGTGGACGAGATTGTTTAAGGGTACCAATGTTATAATAACATTCATTAAAGCGCTCATACAGTTATACGTACATTTATATAATCGTGGTCCAGTGGGAGATTGTTGGATAATTATGGGACCACTCTATAAATATGTACGATATATTATTAAATCCAATTATTATGGTAAGAATATAAATTGTTGATGGACCGATTTATAGAATATTAACTTACCTTGTGGATTGAGTTCCCGGTTTGACTCAAGATCCTCAAGATCCCTTCCATCTATCACATTAGGGTATATCTCCATCTATATATACATGTGATGAGGAGCAATCAAGACACGCGAAATATACATGTAAATACGTTTAGGGTTTGCTGAGGGATTTTTGAGAGAGCTCTTGAGATCAATTGAAAAACCCAACCCTAATTCTTCATATCCGAAGATCATAATGAAATGAGTTATGTAATCGTTCTTTCAGGTTTAAAGTTTTCTTTTGACAGATTCGAGATTAAAGATCCAAAGTTTATGCTTCCGCGTTTTATGTTTTGGTTATCAAAATAACCAACAATAGGGTGTTTGAGTTGATCAATCAATAAAGTGAATACAAATTGGTATTAATTTAAAAAGTATAAATCTGAATTAATTTAAATCCGATATGAATCAACTAAATTATAGTTTGATTGCATATTTTTCACAATTCGGTTTTAAGAGCTAGGACATTACAAACAGTGACGGAGCTTGAACTTTTGATTTGGGGGCCGAAAGTATAATAAGTATGAAAATCGGAGAACAGGGGGCCAAAGCCAAATTTTATAGCTTTTGGGCCTAATATGTAAAAATTTAAATATTTAAGGACTAGTTGTGACAAAAAAAACAGAGGGAGGGGGGCAGCCCCTCCTGGCCCCATAAAGAACCGTCCCTGATTACAAAATAAAAATATCTTTAACGTTACCAAACTTGAGTTGTCAAGTTAAATCCACAAATTATTCAATCATATGTCATCTTAATCAATTCTAGTTAAAAATAAAAACAAATAGTTTAATTATGAAATAAAAAGTATATTAATAAAAGCTTTTATTTGGGACGAATCAGTTAACTTTATCTAACAAAATGTAATAAATCAATTAATAATTTAATATATAAAATATAAATAATTGAATACATGGTTATTATTAAGTTTGTTTGGACTATTCGGTTTTTATTTTAGTATCGAAGAACTATATACTAATAGTTTGATTTTGGTTCAAACTAATCCACAAATCCAAATATATGTACCTATTATACTCATCAGATCAATACAAATTATCTAATTGAATAATTCGATTTTATGAGTAATTGATAACCTTAATTGATGAAACTAAGGCCAACAAAATTATTTTGGTGTTCAATTAAAATTTAACTACATATATGGTGTAACTTTTATGTTGCTTTATTTGTATGTTTCACTTTCATGTGCCATTGTTTACTGCCCTTGATAATTGATATATATCCTGTCAGGGTGGTTTGTTTTTTCCTTTTCTTTGTCTATATAAGCTTGATAATGTTGATTTTGAAATGAAATGTTTTTTGTTGTGTTTTACTAAAAGTCAATATAAGAAAACAAATCATTAATAAGATATATATAAAGTCAAACGCCAGAGAGTAAATCAAGATTATAATTTATATTGAGCTAGCAAGCAATTAATGTTACTGGTATGGGTAACCAACTAACCATTATCCTGCATCTTTTAATTTTATATTAAAAGAAGAAAATTAAACAAGAAAACGTAAAACTAACTTCCTTTGTCAACTGCCCTTTGCACCCTTCTAATTAATAATTACTCCTATAAATTATCCTCTTCATCTCTTCCTACGTTCCCTCATCACATTCACATACCTCCTTCTCTCTCGCAAGAACACACACACACACACACACACAGATCGATGGATTTCCTTATGGTGTTTCTCAGGTTAGCAGACTGGGCTGTATACCAGCTGCTAGCTAACTCATGTTACAGAGCCGCAATGAAAGTTAAAAACCATGGCTTTTTCTTATTAAGAAACCACCCACCTCAAAAATCACCACACCACCAGTTTCCATTGTTCCCTAGCTTCACATCATGTTGCTTTAAAAAAGATCAACAACAAACCGTAGTCTGTGACATTCAAAATACCATACTCTTAAACTCAAAGTCTTTCTTTCCATACTTCATGTTGGTTGCTTTTGAAGGTGGTAGCATACTCAGGGCATTCATCTTGTTGTTATCCTATCCTTTGTTATTTGTTCTAGATCATGAGCTAGGTCTAAGGCTAATGATATTCATCACCTTTTGTGGGCTTAAGTTGAAGGACATGGAGAACGCAGGGAGGGCAGTTTTGCCCAAGTTTTACCTTGAGAACTTGAACCTGCAAGTTCATCAGTTCTTTGTGTCAGCGAGAAGGTTTGAAAGTAGGGTAGTGATCTTTACGAGGGTGCCAAGAGTGATGGTTGAAGGATTTTGTAAAGAATACTTGAGTGTTGATGATGTGAGGGGGACCGAGTTGCATAGTATTGGGAAATATTTTAGTGGTTTTGTGTCAAGTTCGGGTGTACTTGTAAAGCATAAAGCAGTGAAAGAATTGTTTCAAAATGAGAAAAAACCGGATATTGGTATTGGAAGTAGTGGTCTTCATGATCAACTCTTTATCTCCCAATGCAAGGTATGTGTGACTTCTTGAATCAACTCAAACCAATTTTATTCAAACTATTCTTGATCAAATTAAGTCTCTATTTCTTTCTTTTTATTTTTCAATCTTTTCATGAATGGTAAAGTTTCTCATTTATAAGTTTACTGATCAATTAATATCACTTTTGCCAAATGACCCTACCATATTAATTTTACCCCATTTATGCATTTTCTATGTGTCGAAATCTTGGAGGTTATACTTTTAGGCTTTAAATATCACTTTCTATATGAAAGTTGCCTTAACTTTATGAAGTCTTTTGTGAAAAAGTTGCAACTTTTTATTTATTTTCTATTTAGGTTGTTGACAAGAAAAATCGAATAATACGTTAATTATGTTCTATCTTGAACCATGCAAATCCTTTTCTTACCCTAACCTTTTTGATAAAAGACAGTCACGGTTTTCTTTTAACCAAATTTTTTATTCATGAAGTCTTTTGATTTAACGATTGTCGGTTTGAGATTTGCCGATCCCCAAAAGCCAAAAAAAAAAAAATGATAAATTAGTTAGCCATTTGTGCTACCGAATTCTTGGCTTGAAGCAATTTCCATTAATCTTTTTACAACGATTGATCACAGGAAGCTTATGTGGTGACAAAAGAAGATGGAAAGAGGAGTGCAAGAACAATTATGCCAAGAGAAAAGTACCCGAAGCATTTAGTCTTCCATGATGGAAGGCTAGCCTTCTTCCCAACACCATTAGCGACCTTATGTATGTTTCTATGGTTTCCTCTTGGCATTCTGCTTGCAATTGTCAGGCTTTGTGCAGGCATCTACTTGCCTTACCACATCGCACGCATCATAGGGGGTTCAACAGGCGTAAATATAAAGATTGAAGGTTGTGATTACTCATGGGAGAAGAAAAACAAACGAAACGGTGTTCTCTTTGTTTGCACACATCGAACCCTTTTGGACCCTGTCTTCTTAACAATGACCATCGGAAAGCCGTTGACAGCTGTTACTTACAGCCTAAGCAAGATGTCGGAGATGATTTCACCGATAAAAACTGTTAGGTTAACAAGAGACAGAAAGATAGACGGAGAAACCATGCACAAGCTACTGAGCGAAGGTGATTTGGTTGTTTGCCCTGAAGGGACAACTTGTAGGGAGCCTTATTTGTTGAGGTTCAGCTCATTGTTCGCAGAGTTAACCGATGAGATTGTGCCAGTTGCGATGAACACACATGTGACCATGTTCTATGGGACAACGGCTAGTGGGCTCAAGTGTTTGGACCCTATTTTCTTTCTGATGAACCCTAGACCAACGTACCATGTTCAAGTGCTTGGAAAATTGGCTAAGGAGCTTACATGTGGCGCTGGAGGTAAGTCTAGCCATGAAGTGGCTAACTATATTCAGAAAAAACTTGCAGGTGCTTTGGGGTTTGAATGTACAAATCTTACTAGAAGAGATAAGTATTTGATGTTGGCTGGAAATCAAGGGATCGTTGAGGATCATAATAGTAAAAGTACAAAATGCCCATCTAGTTAATTAGTATCTTAGTATTTTCAAGATCAGTCTTTTGGTGTTCCCATTAATTATTATTTTGAATATATTTATTTGAAACACTGTTTTTATGTTCAACCTCTCATGTATTATAAAATTTTTTCTTTTTATTTTCCTTCATTACACTAATTTATGTGTGGAACAGTCACAAAATTATCAAAATTTATGGGCCCATTTAACAAAAGAACTTTTTTTTAAGAGTAAATTACACAAATGGTCCCAGTGCTTTAGATTAGTTTGTCCGTTTGATTCATGACTTTTGTTTTAAACTATGAAAGTCCTTATGTTATATTTTTGTTGCGTCTTTGGTCCTTATCAAACATAATTGGTCCCCATCAAACATAAAAAGACTATATTGCTCTTCCTGTTTTTTTTTAGTATTTATTTCGTACATATAGTTATTGATGCTTATTATGTTATGATTAGAATATAACATGACCACCATCGTTGTAGTATAGTGGTAAGTATTCCCGCCTGTCACGCGGGTGACTCGGGTTCGATCCTGGCAATGGCGCCAAAACTTGGTGGGATGTCAAGTCCACCAAGTAAATTACATCATTTGTTTGCAAATAAAACGTAATATAATGGTAAAAAGGGGTATCGATCCTCGGGGAAATGGTTGTATTCAATCACCAATGCAATCCAATAGAACTAGTGAAATTTAACTAACTAACTACAATTAAACTAAAGGGGGGGGGGGGGTGGTGTTTGATTGCTTGAAAACTAAAATACTTGAATAACTAAAAAAGCTTGCAATTAAGCAAGATGGTGAGATCCTCAAATGTTGAGAATAATTGGTTAACCAAGGCAATTCAACACAATGAACATTTGTGTGTTTATCATTAAGATTCAATACAAAGCTTATCATTCATCCCAAATTGGTTATAGCAATCATGAAGCATGATATGCCAACATTCCTCATAGGTAGTATGGAGGTTGGGGAAGCCCACAACACACCTTCTTAATCAAGATCAAGGGTCAATTGAAGCAATTAAACCCAAGAAGTCAATTAGCCTTAAGAATGAAGGAATCCCCAATTCCTAGAGGATGTCAATGCTTACACATCCATAAAGGGGCTATGATTCATAAGCTAGAGATGATTTCTACCATCATAAAGCTCTTGTTCTAAGTAGATTCAATGATTCAATGCAAAACCAAAGAAATAATCCAACAATTGCTCATTCAAGTACCAAGCTCATGATCAAAGCATCAAACAAGCATAAGAATTATAAACTAGAATCATAAACATGAGATAAATTGATAATCAACATGAATCCTTCAAAACCCACAAACATTCAATGGTTTTCAGCCAAAGTTAACCAAAATAGGGAAATTAGACACTAATAGCAACAAAATAACAATAACAAAAGTCTAATTGCATAAAGAAACTACCAATGACTTGGAAAGATGAAAAGAAATGGGTTTCAAGCTCCAAAATCCCCTTCTTCACCTCTCCAATGGTGAAAAATCGAGATTATCGCTGCTAGATCTGATCCCCCAAGGTTATGGTGTGCCAAATGACCAAAATGCCCAAACTGGGCAGTTGCGCAGGTACCCACGCGACGGAGATTCCACCCGCGCAAGTGCTGCTGGAATGCTATTGGCTCATTTTTCCTCCACTAACCATCCCACTACCAAAGATTCCATTGGTCCCTTCCATATCTCACATGATTCAAATTAACCAATCATCTTTTAGCTTCAAATATGGATGCTCCAAGCCCAAAATAAAAGTCCAAGATCCATCTTCACAAGCCCACTTCATCCAAGTCCTTAGCCTTTTTAAAGCCCAAATCTCCTTCAATGGATCCGTCAAGCCCAATAATGTCTCGGAAGCCCACAAAGCCCACTTCCAAGCTAATCCATAACCGCAACAAGCTCCAAAACCCTGCAAAATATCTCATGCAAAATAGAAAGTATCCAACACGATCCATGATAAAGAAAATAAAGAATATACAATGCAATACTAATAAAAAGAGCTAAAAATACTAAAATAAACTAATAAAAATAAAGAAATAAAATAAGTTATCAACTAACCAAATCAAAAACTAAAATCAAACTAAATCTAAAATAAAAGGCATTGAAATCAAAGATTCCCCCTCCTATAGTATAGTTGTAATAAGATGGTCCGAAATAAAACTCATTAAAGTCAAACAAAAATGAAATACAACTTACTGAATTTGTGGCCGAATCCTAGATTCAATAAAGCAAAACCACTCAATTTTGAAGCATTTTCATAATAAAAACATTTGATTCAAACTACTAAAACGCAAAGTTATAGGAGAATAATCTAAGAAATAAGGATACAAAATAAAAAACAACACACACATTCATACGCATAATATATGTCTCTCTCAATCAATCTTTGTCGTGATGTTTTTATCCTTCTCGATCAATTTCTATCTCGATAGCAATTCTGTCGGAGAAAAAACTAGGTTTCTGGGTGAGAAAAAACTTTACGGAAGAAGACAATTGAGCATAATATGTTGGATCTGGTCCTTCTTGCAGACTGATTCGGAGAAAAGTCATCGCCGAAACTCCCTAAACTTTAGTACGTCCAAGTTATTGTTGAAAAATTGTGGGTAAAAGATGGTCATCGTCTCATCGACAGTGGTGGGTAAGATGTTGTCAACAGTTGTGGGTAAAAGACAGTCGATGCCGGTGGTAGATAAGAAACTAATTAGTGTAGTACAGTCTTTTTATGTATCGCAAGGACCACACCTACAACAAAAACATATCATAGAGAGTATCCAAGTTTAAAAAAAATAAATAAATAAATAAATAAGATTATGGATCAAATGCATAAACTATCCAAAACCGACCATTCATCCTAATTTGCTTTTTTTTTTCTTTGACAAAATAATCATTTATTCTTGTCGGATGGAACATATCTAAAAATTACTTAATTATTTGACAAAATGCTACAAAAATATGTCAAAGACTCAAGAGCCTAATAATCGCCATCATCATTCCAAAAAATATGAATGATTTCGATATATAATTGTCAGATATGTTGATTTTCTTAGAATATATATATATATATATATATATATATATATATATATATATATATATATATATATATATATATATATATATATATATATATTTGAGTAATGGGTATCATTAATAAAGCATTTTTGCAATTCGAAACCAACAAGTGCAAAGTTGGTAGTCATCACATTCTATCATTCACAACAAAAAGCTCAATATCGTCGCAATTGATTCCAGAAATCGTCACTATTACTTTCTGTCTAATACTCATAAATCGTCGCTATTAGAGTCATCGTTAAAACAAGTCATCGTTGCAAATGACGTCGTCGATATTACCATTCAGGTGCCTTGGTGCCTTCGACCCGTTAAACCCCTTACATGGGCCTTACTCTAAAGCTCATCCAAATAACCTAGTCGATACACTTGATCTCAGATGACTCAACAAGAAGCCAAACACCTAAACCCAAAAGAAAGGCCCAACTTGAAGCCCAAACATAATTAGGGTTTTCACATAAAATGACGATTAGGGTTAAGTGTTCTTACTTAACCCATTAAGGGCTTAATCCATTAAGTTTATCACTCCACTAGACCAATCATACCATGTGGTCGGGCATAATTCAAAATTCCAAATCCAACGGTCCAAACGCGGGTCCCGGTAAGTTCCAAACTAAAGTTTCCAAGATTAGGGTTTCCGAAACCCTAATTAGGGTTTCCGAAACCCTAATTAGGGTTTCCAACCCAAAACATGCCAATTAGGCCTAAAAGCTAAGTTTTAGGCTGGTTAGGGTTTCACCAAGTCAGACACCACCCTCTGCCACCTCGGGCGGTGGTGGTCGATAGTGGTTCATGGCGGAAGCAACCACCTCACGGTGGTGGTGGCTATGATTGTAGGCCAAAATAATGACAAAAGTACTCCAAGGACCAATCCAACCACTCACATAAACACACAGCCATCGGAGATGGTGGCTAGTGGCGGAAAAATGATGGCAGCCACCACCTCATGGTGGTGGTGGTGGGTTTTCCGACCAATCATTGCCCATACAACAACACAAATATCGACAGAAGTATGTACACTCGAACACACACCCACACAGCCACCGCCTAGGCGGCAGACGTCGCCGAAAAAGACGAAAACAACGGCCCAATGGCCACCGACGACAGTAACGACGTTTCCAACGTCGTATTCATAGGAAAAGAACGAGAGAGAGGAAAGGTGGGTTGCGGTTGGACTTACCGAGAGCTTCCCATTCAATCGCGACCACGCAACAACGGACACAACCCATTCCTTGGTCTTTGGTTGTCCTCCCGGCTGCTCACTACGTCACCGGCAGTGGGGTTGTGGATGGTGGCGCTCGACGACGAGGTAGCAGGCGGAAAGGGTGGCGGTCGAACTCCACAAGGCATGCGGCGGTTGAGAAGAAGAAGAAGAATGGTGGAGGTATGGTGGTAGCGGACCCACACGACAGTCCCGTCATCGAGTCGCTTTCGCCGAAAGGGGGCAGCTGCGACGCTCAGTGGTGGCAGCAACAATGGGGATGGCGGCGCCGAAGATTGTAGAGGTGAAGGTGGCGGATGGAGGAAACAAGTAGGGTTAGGGTTCCATTCCAAAACGAGGGGGAAGGGATACGGGGTTAATCCCGTGTTTCATTTCAAACATTTATCCGTTTTTCCAAGATTAGTCCCTCCTCACAAGATCCTTTTCAACTTAACCCCAATAATTACCAAGCAGCCCCTGCCTTCAGAAATATTTACAAAGTGACTCCGAAAATTACACTTAACCCCCACAATTCCAAAAATGATGACATTTAACTCCCATGGCTCACATCCATAAATTATTATGGATTTAGGGCTTCAATAAAAAAATATAAAACTATCATTTACATCTCGGGGTATAGGGCTTATTATTTATTTACTTATTTTATTCAATTTAAACGGAATGTTACAATATATCTTTTTTAATTCGTAGGGCTTCGATTCTTGGAATGCTGTGAGACTTTCATGAATCGAATGTCCAAGGTGTCGTGTGAGATAAACTCTGCCAAGGATTGGGTGAGACGAAAGAATGTGGCGATGGTTCAATTGAAGGAGGATTTGGATGCAGTTGTGGTGGAATTGGATGGTAAAG